AGTAACATTTTCCTTAACAAATTAGATAATAACCAAAATACAAAACATGAAAATTACCTCAGTCTGTCAAAACACAACAAAACTGTTGTTTTTAAATAGGAAGTAATATCAGACAATGGAAAAGAAAACAAATAATTACAGGTATACAGATTCCATTATATAGGCTGCAGGTTAAATTTAAAAACGAGCAATTATAAATCAACAGTTTTTCAGAGAGGTCACATTAGATAACTGTACATGAATAGTATGACATCTCTACCATGCTTGCATTTATAAATCTATTTCTAAGTGTTCCTTGGAATGCTCCTTTCATAAAACCAAATATTACTGTATCAAATAAACTTGGATAATGCTATGCACTCTACATTTACCTGTTGAATATTTACAATGTGCATCATACTTTAGAAAGCCATATCATAAAGAAGCCAACTAACCAGAAATCTATCCTATTCAAATTTGTCAGACTTGAGAACATCTTCCTTCCTATGCAATTTAGAATATTCATCTGTATGTCCTGATGTCCAGTTGGGATTATCTATCCTTAGGAGTGAAAGTCTAAGTTATTTTCACCACTGTTCCTATGCTATGAAGTAGATAATAACCATTTATATACTACATATAAAAAGCTCAGTCAAATCTCTAACAGTAAAGTGAGCTCCCTCTTAAAAACTTTCCTATAATGGAATAACTTACACATTTCCTGGTTCAACAGCAAAAAAGAATATATTGTTTTAATAATAAAGTACACACACACACGCACACATATATATATATTCATTTCCATTTAAAGCACATCAAACAAAATATTTTTATAATACATCTTATTCAAGATCCATTTAGTAAAACACATAAAAATGTATGTAATTAGGTATTTCTGTATAAATATAGGAGAAATATGCTTACATAGCTGAAGCATACTTTTAAAAATCTGACTGCATGATGTTACCAAGACTATTTAAAACATACAGAGATGAAGACAAGTCTATATTACTATGTTGACTACCAGTTTTAAGACTCTAATTTTAAAGATAACTATGTCCAGAAAATGTTCTAAAGCAAAATGAATTCTAAGAATACCGGATGGGAGCTAGAATTACTCATCACAACACTCCTAGAAGAACAGAACTGACACACTGAACTTGTCCATGCAGGGGAAGTACAACTTAATGTAACAGATAGTACTCAGCACATTCCTTCACTAGAATGTGGTCATCACCACCAAGTACACAAGCTCATGCACAAGGTCAAGACATTACACACAGCTGAGATCACAACGTCATGCAGATCACAACAGCGTGCTAGATAATCGTACCAAAATTGTGCAGGTGTTCTCCCCCACCCCATGAGCCACTGCCAGCAGTTGCTATGGAGTTTGGTTACCCATATCCGTGACATGAACGGTGTCCTTTGGAGAATCTTGTTCCCTGTGGCTGTAAGTATTCTTATTTTTATATTTTAATGATGCTTGCTATGAAAAATCTTAAGTACAAAACTAAAAATCATGGAAAAGTACACTTTTTTTAAAAATAATACTCAACAATTATATGCACCTTATCTCAAGCAGCTATGATAAATACCACTGATATTTGAACATATCATCAACAATAATTTATTGTTCACTTAGATGAACCCAGAAAAGTATGTCTGATGACAGTGCTCCAGTGAGTGGGGGAAAAAATAAATCTCCAAAACTACTCTGATTCTAGCATTCAGAAATTTGTACAAGAACCATCCCATGATCTGGCTAATTACACTCATATTGCCAAGTTCTACATGAGAAGATCTTCCTGATAACTTTCTTTTATGTGACTTTGATTCTACAGATTTTACTTTGTAAACAATAAACAAATTGATTTTGTATTTATATATAATAAATTAAATATAGGCATTAAAATGTTTTCCCTTGTTTTTCTGAACACAGTAAATGGATTTCAGTATTTAAATGCCTTTTTGTGAGTGGCCTATTTGTACTGTAAGTATATTCTGGTAAGACAAAATTTTACTTTTCTGTAGGCAATACCTACTAAAGTACTGATCTTCCCAAAAGCATAAAGTCAGAGTCTGGAACCACAGACACTTGGGAGTGGCTCAGCTCTGTGCCTTTTGGCAGCACTATGCGGTCCTTTCAGATAATGAATTAATTTATTCAAGAACACTCTAGGCTATTCTAAACCCGGCCTGTGAGTGAGAAAAAGAAATACAGCCAACTCTCAATAACAATTGAAGGTAGGATGGAAAAGTAAACTGACAATCTAAAACTAAAAATTTTGATAATTTCAATTCCCTTGCTTAGCAAATATTGAATTAAAAATTTGAAATCCTCATCACATTAAAAAAGGACTTGAATATTACCTTTTTTCTTCCTTCTCTCAAAACATTCTAGGAGTTAATAACAAGAACTCTATGGAATAATGTACACAACTACAAACAGAAACACACTTTTGTGTCTAATTTTTTCCAATTTAGACATTTAAAACTATCTAGTCCAAATCTTGACATGTGAGGTCACAATATTTTTTTCTTTCTTCTCATAGAAAGCATGACTTTATAATCTGTTTTTAAAATTGTAAGACATTTAGCAAGAAACAACTACTTACCATAGTCAGTATCAGCAATGATATCTCACTTTTCTGACTTTGTACAACTTGGAACTTTCCAAGTTATGCTTTGCTTACAATGGAGCATTTGCAAGTCATGTGAACTAAAGATGATACTGTGATTCAACATCAGAATAGTTTATGACAGAAGCCAGGGAGACTTCCAAAACTGAGTGTAATAAGATGGGGCTTACAAAAGCTGTCCTTCCTGATTCTTACAAACTCGGGAGCGAAACACACAACTACCCTAGTTGCCCTCAACTCTTCCCCAGCGTTCACCACTCAACTGCCCCGCAGACCAAAGCCAAACATCAGAAAGCTCACCAGATGAGCTGTTTAGTCAGCAACCAGTAAAAGTCTAGTTGTAATGAGAACATGCAAGGCCCTGACACTACTCCTGTCTCTTCATGACTATAGTGAGATCTCTGTACAATGCACATTTGCCATAGTACAAGACCGGAAGGTGACACGCCCATATCGTTATCTGTTTACACAGACGACGTTGTGAAAAGCAACTATATTCTATAATAAAAGACATTGGAAAATTACAATAAAGGGATGAGTGATAAACTCTAATTTATGACAACTCCTTCATGTTCATTAGAGTTTAAATAATGGCTTTTTACATTATAATGGCTTTAAATATACAGTTTGAATGCTAGCTTTTAATAAATTATTCCATTTTCATTAAGAATATCATGGTTTTGGGAGCATGGTGGCACACTGTTTATAGTCCCAGCACTCAGGAAGCTGAAGCAGGAGGATCAGAAGTTCAAGGCAAGGCTGAGCTACACAGTAAATTCGAGACAAGCCTGGGCTATAGAAGATACTGTCTCAAAAAGCCCAAACCAATAGCAGCAACAACAAAAAGCATTAGAATTTCACCTACTTCTTTAAAACATTGGTAAGAAAAAAGAAAGAGAATGGGTATTTGAATGCCAATATTATAGCGGTTTTATAACACATAATTTGTTATATTTGTAAGAATAAGACTAAATGACAGTGTATGTTTAACAACATTTGGTTTTATAAATGTATAAGAAAAATTTAACAAAGAAACTAATAGTAAGTGAAAATAAATTTATTTAAAAATGTACTATAACTGGGTTATTTCATAGTTATAAGAGCAGTATTTAGATTTAAGCTTAAAGTTAAAAACTGGAAAAATATTTTCCTACTTAACAAAATTAAGATAATTTTAGGAACTACTTGGCTGCATGACTTAAACAATTCTCCCTTGCCTCCCACTTTAAAAAAGATTTATTTATTTATGTATTTTATGTATATGAGTGCTCTACTAGCATGTATGTCTGCATGGCAGAAGAGGGCATCAGATTCCACTATAGACGGTTGTGAGCCACCATGTGGTTGCTGGGACTTGAACTCAGAACCTCTGAAAGAGCAGCCAGTGCTCTTCTTAACTGCTGAGCTATCTCCCCAGCCTCCAACTTAAACAATTCTTAGTAACTTTATAACACGTGAAAATCATCTTAAAATAACTATTAAATTAAAATGATTCTAGTAATATATCCATAGAAAACAATGCACCCAGAAGCAGTAACTTCCAAGGTCATTTCATTTCTATTTGGATCTGGAGGCATGGGTCTAGTAGATGTGTAAACATTTCTGAAACTCTTCATTTTTCCAACATACATTAAAATATGAATAGGAAAAGGTAAAGAAAAAATTTCTTTTCACATTTTGATCATTGTTACATATTATGAAAGAGGTAAACATCAATTTTGAAACAATCAAGAGGTTTTTAGATAACATGAAATTATGTTTTTTAATAAAAAAACTGTTATTATATTTGTGCACATGTGTTTGTTCCACAATACAGGTGTGTAAGTCTGAAGGCAACTGCATGGACCGTTTTCTCCTTTCACCTTTCTATGGGTTCTAGGGACTGAATTCAGCTGCCAGACTTGCATGGCAAGCTCCTTCACCTACTGAGCCATCTTGACAGCTGAAGTCATCAACATTCAACATCTTGATACAGTACACTAGAATAATGTTTTCTGTGATTATCTCTAATAAAAGTACATCACTACTAAATAGAGTACATGGAAAGATAAAGCTGCAGATATAATTTGATGAACATATTACATGTATGTTCTCATTAACAAAGTCTTATACTTCCTGGTAATATGTCTCTCAGACCAGTAGATTACTGTACACATATCAAGAATGCTGCCATACAACATTAGCAGGTAGACAGATTAGAATTTGATCAGGAAGGCAAATAAAACTGATTATGCCATATAGCAGTAACCAAAAACTTGGCTTTTCAGAGATTGGAAAGCATGTTCAATTACTTTTAATTTAAGCTGCAAGTTTATATTAGATGGTTGCAGCAAAATCATAAAAGAACACCTGAAGCAAATAATCCTGCTCTCAGCTTACCTCCTCTGGGTTGGCATTAAAGGTGAGGCTTCCTTCATCTAGCTGCATATACAATTTTCTAAAAGAAAATCCTAAAGGTGGGTTCTTATTATATATAGAACAGTGACCCCAAGTGGATTTACACAACCTATAAAAATAGAAAGAACAGAGTTATTATATTTCCTAAGATAAACACACATTCACATGATAAAATTCTCAAATTAGATGACACAATTAGATTCTGCAGCTGTCAGAACAATCTAAGAATGGAGTCATGCAAAGGGAATTCTAAGTGCTTGTGAGAAAACATATGTCTTGCGACCTCAATTTCTTCAAAAACGTGGAATTGTTCTTGAAATGAGTTTCATTCCCTTCCCAAAGGCAGTGGATAGGAGAGAGTTCACTTTCAGATATTCACTACAACTGGTTATTGTTATTTGTTACATGCCTCTATGGAAAAACATGTTTTTGCCACATAAGCCCTGTCCTTGTGATTGTACACCTTATCCATGTGATTCTTCTTAACCCTTAGAGTATAAATTGTTTGATGCTCTGAATAAAGTTGGCTGTGCAAGAGAGCTAGTCTGCATCAGTTTTAGGTTCCTTCCTCCCAGGTCCCACTGCCTTTAGAGCAGTAAATATGTGGCTGTGGTGATATATTGTGTAACCTAATAAAATTTGTCTGAAGATCAGAGAACAGAACAAGCCACTTGATTAAACATAGAGGCCAGGCAGTGGTGGCACACTACTGGGAAGCACACAGGCCTTGAATCCAGGAAGTGATGGCTGGGTGGAGAAAGGTATACAAGGTGTGAGGAGACAGGAACTAAAGGCTTTTCAGCAGAAGCATCCCTTTCATTTAGAGGCTTCTTCGGTTGGAGCCTTTTCAGCTGAGGAGTTGGCAAGGTGAGATGTGGCAGTGGCTTTTTCCTTTGTCTCTCTGACTTTCAGGCAAATTTTATTAGAGTATACAATATATCACTGCATGTGGCTATAAACTTTTATTTAAATTTCATATTTCTAGTTTACTAGAATATGACAGTGCCATATAATTAGCAATTTTGGTTGCACCTAAGACTTTCAGTTACAATGATTAAGCATGTTCATGAATACTATCTGAAGTTACACAAGCAATCAAAAATAAGATCAATGATAGATGACAATCACTCAGATTACTGAAATGACAGTCAGTATTTTCAGAGTTTTAATTGTATTGGCTTGCTCAATCCTGTCAACAATTCTCTGATGTTGGTTGTAATTGGAATTTCCTTTGTAGGACCACCAGCCCACAAATAACGACACTAAGACTTTTTATTAATTATGAAAGCTTGGCCTTTAGTTTAGGCTTGTTCCCAACTAGCTCTTATAACTCCAATTAACCTGTTTCTGTTAATCTACACTCTGTCATGTGGCTTTTACCTCTCTCCCATTCTGTACATCTGATTTGTTCCATGCCTCACTGGCATCTCTCTGCCTCTCTCCTTTCCAGAGTTCCTCTCTCCCCAGAAATCCTGCCTATTCTCTCCTGCCTAGCTATTGGCCATTCTGCTCTTTATTAAACCAATCAGAAGGTGCCTCAGGCAGAAACACATCTTCACACAGTGTAAACAAATATTCTGTAACAGTTGGTGCACCATACAAGAAACAGAAACACGACGGTCCCAAAAAGACATCCAGCTAACACGCATGTGGCAACATTTAGATAAAAGTCTTCCTCAGAGCTCACAATGCTAAGAAGCTGGTTGGGATCTATTAAATAACCCATGCTAACTGTGATATAACACTAAAGGTTGGGAAAGGAAACTTCACTGGCTTTTTCAAAAAAGTATATATTAACAACAAATTAAACACAGAATAATTCCACAACTATACACATCAAGTACTGTGATGCTGAGCATGCTTAAGATATTATTTCAGATCCATGATTCTTCACTATTATAAAGACATGCAGCTGTTAAAATATCTTTTCAACTTTGAATAAGAACTGAATTTCATAATGCACCATTTTTTGTAGATTAGGATCATGCTTTCCAATCTATAGAGAGGCACTAGTTAGTACTTGAAAGCTAAAATGTTTAGTGTAATGACTCAGAGTTCTGGAAATATATCAGAGCACTAAGTCTATGTGTATTACTATCAAGATAAAGAAAATACTGAAACTATATTTCATTATACTTTAAATGCCTTTAAAACTGTGATAAAAAACATATTCAGACCTAATTCCACTAAGTTTAGAAATGAATATTGTTTTAAGTTCAAATATAGAATCAGCTGGGTGTGGTAGTGTATACCTTCAATCCTAGCAATGGGAGGCTGAGGCAGGAGCATCAGGAGTTGAGGCCAGTTTGGGCCACAAACAAATGAACAATAGAGCAAAATAAATTTCAAATAAAGAAACACAAATTAAGTTTGTGGAAAATGCTAAGATGTAGGAAAAAAAGATGACAAAGAACAAACCAGGTTTAAAGTATCATTGTAATCTCCCTCTATGATTAAAACATTAAAAACTCATTTGTTTTAAATAATGCTATAAGAATTGGTGCTCATACAGTATGACAAAGCACCGAGTGATAAAAATAAATTGTTTTTATGTATTTATTGACTGATAAAGAAATACTTTTGTACTACAATTCTGAGACCTTAGGAAGCTTAAGTCAGAAATGTTGCTACTGGAAACACACTACTACTGGAATTTGATAATTTCAATTAATTTATCAAGTCTCTCAATTAACTTTCCAGTCTAGGTATGGTATCATTACTGATAAGTTCTTTACCATTATAAAAGCTACTTTAAAATACTGAGACTTAACTTTGCAGAAGAATGCTAGGAAATCTGAAATTCAGTGATTCTTCTGATCGGTAGCATTTTCAAGACTCAAAAGAAGAAACCCCATTCCTATGATCTTTCATTAGATTAGGAGGCTACTTAGGAATAAATGCGATTTTTAAAAAATATATTCTATTCTACAAAAGCTTGTGGATTTGCAGTTTAAATTGAAATGGGTGCAACAGCTATTAAAATGTAACAAACTGTCTGTTGTACTTTCGAATGTTCACCCGCTTCAGTGATAAAAGTGGGTTTAGAAAAACATATAGGTGACGTCATCAATTTAAAAGTTGATGACAGCAGAAACAGAAATATGAAAACACACATGTTCACTTTGAAATCAAAGAAAACACTGTTCTTACTTATCTTTAAGTATGCCTATACTTCAGATGGTATTCCTCCGGAAACTACGAGCTTCACCAAGAGACAAAGACTACACACTTTGGATTATAGGTTCTTACTCAGAATGGGTATGCTGCTCAAATGACTGCAATTTCTGGTGTGTAATAAATGGACACGTTTTGACTGTAACTCCCTTTCTTCTGTACAGTTATCATCCCACTGTCTTCTCGACAATGTCAAAACTGACTGGGAAGATAACTATTAGTTATTTTTCTAGGGTTTAGTAAAATATATAAGCTCATATAAAAGAAATGATTTCACAAAACATGCATGCTATGTGAAGAACATTCAACAAGACAGGGATCGGAGTTAATGTTGGTGGGTTGAACTTACCCTTGCCAGAGAAGTTCATCATTAGCAAGGTCTTGCCAAACACATGAAGCTAAGCAGAGGTCAGTTGCATTTAGGTAGGACAAGATGGTGAAGCTTAGTTCAGGAGGCAGCATTTCCAAGTTAATGAACCCTTCCTGCTCTTTAGACTTCCTTGCCTTCAGAAGGTGATATATATCGATGCCTCCTTGGGCTTGTTTCCGGTGGCTGGAGTGAGAAATGTTGCTTGAAGTCACTCTCCTGCTCTGCTCTCTGCTGAGGTAGCCTGGCTCACTGTAGGCTTCCTGTTGGAGATGCTGGTTTCTGGCCACTCTCCAGAGTCCTTGACCCATCTGCAAGCCTGAGAGAAAGCCAGAAGGTAATAAGGGTGACACGAAAACGTAAACCGTCTTTCCCACTAGTATAACAAGATCTGACAGGCATTTGTTTATCAGAATTCTAATTTCTCATTAAAGCCTGGGGAAAGCTGTAGTATATTATAAAGAAGAGTTGGGGTGTTTGGGGTGCAGCACTTGGGAGAGAAGTTTAACTACCTGGTCTGCTCATTGCCTCCATCCCAGCTTGCTTGCTATATATTTTTAAGATCCACAGGCAACAGAATCATTTTTCATGTGGTGGGAGTTAAGTTGCTGATGTCCTGAAGACACTTACAAATTATAATTATGTGAACTTATGGGCCAGTATTAAATCCAGATCTGATCAGAGCACAGGACTTCAGTTAAACGGCCTCCAGACACCGCTTTTTATCACAACTCAGGCTCAGCTAAGCTAGTCCCTTTTAACCACACTGCCAGATGCATAACAGCTGTGATGCAGGCTTTCTGTTAATTCCTGCCAGTCTACACTTAGGTTGTAGACTGTAATAAAATGTAACATAGGCCCTGAAGTCTAATTCAAAAACCTTATAAATTAGACACCTAGAACTCCAGGATAAATTGCTCAGCAATAACCAACTATTTGGTTTCACTGGTGCTTACAAATAAAATTGCAATTTAGAGTAACTTTCAATTGTTTTCCAAATAGCCCTGTGGATTTGTTCAAGGCACTTGGGAAAAGATGTAAGAAGGTGTGTTCCAGTCTCCCCCACCTACATGTCACCTGCCAGAGCTGCTGTTAAATATCCTGGACTCCCCATACACAAATATTTAGAAAATGACTGGCCTAAATTTATTTGATATGGCTTTCAAAACAAGCAGTTTTTCCTGAGCAAATAAACTTGCTGAGAAAAACTAAATCAGGAAGAGTATTTAATACAAATAAATAGTTTCATGAACCCCTTTTCAAACAAAATATTCTTGCTTTATTACTCATTCAAAAATTTTTGAAAAAATATTGATCTTCACATAAAGTCAATAAAATAATTTTCATGGTATAATCTGAACCTTAGATGGAACACAAAAAGACAAAAACAACTCGTTAGACACACAAATCAAATCACTGCTTACCAAAATGGAAATGTCCTAGAAATAACTTTAGCATCCAGAAGAACTTCAAAAATGTTGAGAGTATTATTTTCTTAATTAAAAGAACTCACATGTTTATTTACTAAATATTTAGTTATTATTGGGACAAAACTATTTGAGGTTATTTATGGATCAAAACAGAAGAAAAGGTTCAGGGCAAGTTAATTCTGATGCCTTGCCTTGATCTCCTTGGGAGTCCACCTATAAAGGTGTATGCATGTGTATGTGTGTGTATGACGGAGGTTACGAAGAGAAGGAATATACTAATGATTTTCAAATGTGGGAAATTTTGGTTTTTGCACAAGAGGCACAAAGGATAACCTTTCCTGTCCTAAAACCCAAAACTAAATAATATTATCAGTTTAGCTAGCCTCAAGCTTTACAAATGAAATTCATGGGGCTGGAGAGATGGCTCAGCGGTTAAGAGCACTGACTGCTCTCCTAGGATCTGGGTTCAATTCCCAGCACCCACATGTCAGTTCACAACAATCTGTAACTCCAGTCCCAAGGACTCTCCAACGCTCTCTTCTAGTCTCTGCAGGTACCACACACAGTGTGCACACACACACATTCAAAGAAATCCTCAGACACATAAATTCAAAATATTAAGACAAACCACAATCTAGGAAATCTTTGTAAAATGCATTTATAACAAGGGTCTGATATCTAAAACAAAAGAAAACAAAGGACTTTAAAAGAGACTGGCAATGGTTCAGCTGCTAAGAGCACTTCCAGCTTGCATAGGCCCTGCATGTGGTTTCCAGCACCCATGTCATGCAATTTACAACTGCCTGTAGTCCAGCTCCAGGAGATCTGACATCTCTGGCCTCCATGAGCATCCACATAGTCCTACAGAGGGACCAATGCTTGCAAGGAAGTGAGGAAGAGGGCACATTTGAAAGGTACTTTGGTAGTTTCTTGCAAAATTAAATATACTTTGTATCATATAACCCAGCATTCACATTTCTCTTTATTTACTTACATAAGTTGGAAACATCTGTCCACACAAAAGCTGTTCATGAGTGTTTGCAACAGTTTTATTCATAATTGCTCAAATTTAAAAGAAACTAAGATATGCTTCAGCAGGGGAGTGCATAAACAATGACACATCCATGTGCTGGAACATCACTTGGCATACATAGTCTCAACACTGAAACCCAATGCTATAACAGGAAGGAAACTGTTGTCACTTGGGAAAGTGATCTGGTCAGAACAATTCAGATGAACAGTGAGATCACCTAATATGCCAAGAATTTCAAATTCAAAAACACATTTTTCATATTTGCAAAAATTAATTTTGGTATAAAATATGAATTTTGTGATGAAATTACTGCTGGTTATTTATTTTTAAAATAGGTAGTGATAGCTTTATAATAGTCTTGCAAGAGTATACTCTAGTTCACGTGTAAATAGAAGTTCTTTCTCATTATGCATAGCAGTGACTTCTATAAAGTTGTTATAAACACTGAATAGTGAATACAGAACGACTGCTCTGTGAAAAAGTAGGTTAGGTTTCTGCAAAGCCAAATGAGTAAATGAATATGATAAAAGAATTTTTTTCCTAAAATTATGCAAACATGCCGGGCAGTGGTGGCACACGCCTTTAATCCCAGCAGTTGGGATGCAGAGGCAGGCGGATCTCAGTGAGTTTGAGGCCAGCCTGGTCTACAAAGCGAGTTCCAGGACTGTTATACAGAGAAACCCTGTCTAACCCCCCCCAAAAAAATTATGCAAACACAACTCCTGACGTATCAAGTACTTACACTATCAGTAATGGTACATGTGTCTCAGAGATATTGTATACATTTTTTGGTTTAAGAGCAAAATCATATTCAATTAAGAACACATGTATGTATTACAGTAGTGAGTAGGAAATTCTGAAGTTTTATATTCATGGCTGCTAAGTTACCTTGAACATTCACTGGGAACATGTCACAGGGACTGAACAAGAGTTGTTTTTATTAACTTAATCCTAAGATTTTTATATTTTGGTTTCTTTATTAATATTTCTTACATTTCAAGTTTAATTTTCTGCTTCTAAATTTCTATGCTGTTATAGTAGAGTAGCTCAGCTGATATAAATAGACTTAAGATGGAATTGAAAACAAAGAAAACTTTTGAAAACTATTTATTTATAATCCATAAACTTCATTAGCTAAAGCTCCCATTAAAAAGGAGCAGCACATGAAATGGCTTAGCCAGTAAAGGCATTCGCTGTAAAGACTAATGACCTGTGTTGGATTCCCTAGGACCCACAAGGTAGAAAAGAAACGACTCCCATAAGTAGTCCTCTCATCTCCAGATATGTGTAGTGGCAAAGGCACACACGCACGCACACACACACAAAGTAAAAAAGAATACACAGAGTATTTCAACACATTTTTGTAATAGAGAAAGAGTCACACTCCTTTGGAGACGGGGCCACTGACAGGTCACTCAAGCCCCAGAGGGTAGCCCACACTCATGTGCATATGGGCACCACTAACTGGACTCAAGAGGTTTTTTTTTTTTTCCTTTTTTTAATATCAAGGAGGACATGAAGTTGTATGTATTGGGGTGACAGGAACTAGGGGGAGCTGAAGTGAGGTCAGGGTGGATGGCTTTGACGAAAATACATTGTATAGATGTGTGAAAACACAAAGAATTATTTAAGATATGATTTAAAAAGTGAAGATTAGCTTAGAATATTGCAGAGAGGGAATCAGAAACTGTATGTTCTAAAGAAGCAGCCAACAGTGGGGGACTCAATATAGGAGAAAGAAGGGGACAATTCGGGGGGAATGTGTATGAAAATAAGGGCTTAACTTCTCTAAGTCACTGTTTCTTGACTTGTACAATAGAGATAAGAAGATCCTTCTCTGGGGCCTGGAGAGATGATCCAGCAGTTAAGAGCACATACTAGTCTTGTAGGAGACCTAAGTGAAGTTGGCGGCCACAGTGAGCAGCCCACAACTACCACTAACTCCAGACTGGTGGGATCTGATATTCTGGCCTTTGCAAGCACTTGAACACACGCAAAAAAATCCCACACAGACCTCACATCTGACAGAGGACTGATATCCAGAATATATAAGGAACTCAAGAAATTAGACATCAAAATGCCCTACAGTCCAATTAAGAAATGGGCTATAGAACTAAACAGAGAATTCTCAACAGAGGAAACTCAAATGGCTGAAAAACATTTAAGGAATTGCTCAACATCCCTAATTATCAGGGAAATGCAAATCAAAACGACTCTGAGATACCACCTTACACCTGTCAGAATGGCTAAGATCAAAAACACTGAAGACACCTTATGCTGGAGAGGATGTGGAGCTAGGGGAACTCTCCTCCACTGCTGGTGGGAATGCAAGCTTGTACAACCACTTTGGAAATCAATATGGCGCTTTCTTAGAAAACTGGGAATCAATCCCCTGCAAGATGCAGCTATACCACTCTTGGGCATATACCCAAGGAATGAGCAATCATACCACAAAAGCACTTGCTCAGCTATGTTCATATCAGCATTGTTTGTAATAACCAGAACCTGGAAACAACGTAGATGCCCTTCAATTGAAGAATGGATAAATAAAATGTGATACATATACACAATGGAATACTACTCAGCAGAGAAAAACAATGACATCATGAGGTTTGCAGGCAAATGGATGGATCTAGAAATAATCATCCTGAGTGAGGTAACCCAGACTCAGAAAGACAAACATGGTATGTGCTCACTCATAGGAGGATACTAGATGTGGAACAAGGATGACTGGACTGCTACTCACATCACCAGGGAGGCTACCTGGAAAACAGGACCCCAAGAAAAACATGGGGATCGCCCAATGACAGAGAAATGGATGAGATTTACATGAACAATCTGGACATGAGTGGGGGT